GCAAGTGCTCGAACCAGAACTCATGGTTAGCAGCACTCACTTCCACTATATTGCTGAACATCTTTGTCGTATCGATCTGTCAATCAATCATCAAATCATTACAAATGCGATATTAGTTCCCAGAAATTGACTTTTCCTAAAGAATTAGACTATAATATGCTCTACAATTCAGTGGAGACCACTTCTACCAGTCGTTAATCAAACCAAATGTTTTCGCATTCAAAATATCGAGTAAAACTTTTTTGTACCCAACATTGTATATAATATCATAAAAAAGTCATTTGTTTTGTGACACTGTATTAAAGCGAGTAAAACCTCTGTTTTCTTTATTTCCGTTTGCGTTGATATACATTAGAAATAATGATAATTATATTTTTGTACCAAAACTTGCGCTTCTCTAACACATACCCGACATATGGATTAAGTAATACCTGTGAGGCATTGGTTTTTGCGTCAATGTCTTATCGACTCGACAATTGTATTCAATAGATATATAAGTTTTATTATATAACACATTATTATTAGTCATTTGGTGTGAATCCATGTGTTGTGTAAATCAATAAATATAACTAAACTTAAAGCTTCAATGCAAACAAAACGACCGCATTATAGCATTTCATTATTAAACGATATATTTTGCTCTTTAATTAATTTTTGAAACAAGAAAACGACCACTAATTAGGTTTTCACTATCTATGCATATCTATACTATAATATCATTCAATTCCTATCACACTATTGCTGACATATAAATTAATTTAATTTGTTTTTAAATTAAATTTTAATGAATGACTAATTTCACAAACACTGATATCTTTGCAGTAAATCAGATGTTTCTCTAATTAAATATTGTTAATAAAAATTCACTCAAATAGTGATTTAAATTAATTTTGGGCTTCAATTCTGTGGGTTTTTAAAAAGTCTAACAAAAACTGTGTTATATTTTTGTCGATTATATTATGTTCTTTAATATGAAAGTATGTCTAAGAATATAACACAGAATAAAAAGCACAAAAATTTTACAAAGGCTTTTGTTATACAAAAAATAATTTATATTTCATATAAATATAATCCTAAAATATGTTAAATTCAAATGAATAGATAGAGAGCTCTAATGGGTGTATAAACAGAGCAATATATTAGGATTAATGATAAACTGAAACAATGCTTAAGACATTAGTTCAATAGATCATCAAATTATTGATATCGTGTTAAGCAATAAAAATGTGCTCTTTTTGGAGGACATCATAAGTCTGACAACTAGTCACTTGTTTTCTCTCCATTCAGTGTACAGTATATTGTAATGGAGTAGTAATGAAGTGATAGAATGATTAGCGAAACAAATCACAAATGATGGTAAAAATGAAAGTAAAAAAAGTACTGCGAAAGTGATAGGGATTGAGAGACAGAGTAAAGACTATACCTCATTGAGGAGACACTCGCTCTGGAGATTGCAAAGACATGACAGGAATAGATCTGTAATCACTTTTAATCGTCTCAAATAAAACACTTCTGTTTGAAGCAATTCCCAAATCGCGTCGTTTTGGTTTTGAACCCTTTTTGGCAGATCTTCACTATTGGCTACAATCGACTTCCAGTGCTCTTCCAAATAATACATGTCTTTCACATCACCGACGGCTGCGGCGATGGCGGCGGCGGTGGCGGCGCTCCCATTGCCGCCACTTTGTTGACTGTCGGCGCGGAACGTGAGTAGACCCGACTGCTCCGGTATACCTGTCTGGCCGTATAGGTTGAGCAGATCAGTCAATTGGTCCATCTTTTCGCCATCGCTTTTAAACGGATTCGAGAAAATTCCGCCACTCTTTCTGTTGACCAGTTGACGCCCTCTGAACCCTTTGAGCGATCCCTCGTGTGAACCAAACAGTTCACTGTCTGCCAGAAGGTTCTCACACGAGACCATTAGAGCACCCCTTCTGTTCCGTTGACTCTACAAAAACAAACACACTTTACGTTAGACTTGTCTCCGACTGACAATCTTTCATAAATATCAGTTTATTTTGCATCAAAATATCTATCATTTATAACTACACTATCGAAATAAACAACACGTTTCGTCAGTAATTGCATTTCAAATACTGATATATTTAGCAAAAATACTTTAAATAGTAGTGAAATAAATGCTTCTCAAAATCCGTTGCTTTTAAATCCTTAATTAATAAGAAAAACTGATTTTATTAAATAAAATT